TTGGGCTCGAAAGATTTAACATGCATCATCCCCTCTACATGACGGTTTTCAGTGACACCAGGACTTGAACCCGTGATTCGACAACACTGGTTATGAATTCGGGACAATGTCAACTCGTAGTAATAATGGTAGTAATTAAAAGGATTAATAATTTGTGACTTTAGAATATTACAAACTATCAATCTTAACTTTTAAAACCTTCAAAACATTTAACAAGTCAGAAGGAACACAAATGAGTTTAATTGTTGAAGGTCGTTAAAGAAGTACAATGTACTTCTCAAACTTTATCTATACTTGCGACCCAATTAACAATCATAACTTTCATCACCCCCACGTACACAAAATAACAATGTATTGAATTCAATAATAATATACTTTAACGTAAGGCTACAAATCGACTTTAATTATAAACCATACAAATTATCAAGATAAGTATCACACACATGCACACAAATTTTGTACATAATATTATGACTTGCCCATATATATATAGGTTCACTGGTAATTCTTAAACTTGTTCTTAACTGAGTACTGTTAAATTAATTATGAAGCACATTGTACAATACTTATACATTTATAAGTGTATTATATCAGTGTAAATGTGTATTTTACTTTTTATTATGTCAGAATGTATTTTGTTTCGCTTCCTTTCAGTAAATTAATATTTTTTTTTAAAAAAATAATCTTTTGATTTCAACTTTTCAATATACTCGCCCCCCCCCTTTGTAAGGTTATTACGCCCTCTAGGGAGGTGCGCCCCACAGTTTGAGAAACACTGCAGTATATTGAAAAAGATTCGGTTCTTGATTTTTAAAAACCTAAAGAATCATCCAAGTAATGAAAAAAACTTTTTAAAATAGGAAAAGTATGAAGAACATCTATTTTTAAAAAATGAATGAAAAATAACTATCAGAATATGAAACAAAAATAACATAAGTATTTATTTTTCTTAAACTTGAGAACTATAATCATAGCTTCCTTATCCCTTAATAATATTTGCAGTTGAGTTTTATGAGTTATTAAAATAACACATTGCTAAATTCTTAGTTTTAAGGGGACATGGTACGATTTACACAAAAATTTTTAATTGAATGATTTTCATAATTTTTTTTTGGTTGCCTCCTATGTGTATGTATGATGTAAAACAGATTTTGTGCTCAAAATTTTATAAAAAGCTAACCATTTAATTTTTTAATGGAGAAACTTATGAAGTGATTTTAAAAGGCTACTCCTCCTACAAAAATTGGCGTACATATATGAAATTTAATTTACAAGTACGTTTTAAACTATGTATAACAAAAGTTGCTATGGTTTTTGTGATAACATGATTAGTATTTGTACAGTACTTCTTTTTTAAGAATGCTTATTGAAAATTCCTTAAAAAATGTGTACAGTTTAACTTCAATCATTTTTTAAAAACTAAGTATTCCCTCGATTGAAAAATGCATACGAATTTTTGCTCCGTGTACTATTAGCAACAAGTGAAACAAATTTCCAAGTATTAAGCATAATAGAAAAGAAGCTTTAGCACTTTAAATGAAGACAAACTAGTTATTTTACCTTTCTGAGATAAGTCAGTTTTAAGTTTTGATTTGCCATTGGAATGTAAATAAAAACTAACGTAAAAGTTATCATAACTCTGCATTTTTTACACTTAGAACTTTCAGATTTATTGAGTTTGTAGAAAAGTGTATAAAAATAATTTAGAGTAAAAAAATTATTTGATTTTTTGACCGATTTTTGTCAATTGAATCGTACTGTGTCCCCTTAAGAAATAATGTTTATAAATGAGGTGTTTTGATTCAATTTGATATACATATCATCCATCTTAAGGCTGTTTTCGCCATATGTACGAGAGCGTGAAGACGCGGAGCACAGTTTTGGACAGAAAAAATGCATCAATGTTTATAAAAATTTGTGACATTGTAACTCATGCATTTGTTTATAATATAGTGTTTTTAAAATTTCAAAATATTTCATAAATAATTAGTTTGTCCTTTCAACTTGTGAAGGGATCGTTCATTTAGCATTACGGTATAGGGGAAAAAATGAAAAACACATTTTATAGAAGAAAAAATGTGTTAACTTAGATAAAAATAATGAGTAGTATGATAAAATAAGCAATTTTCTGCAGGATAGTGTAGATAGAATATAATATTAATGTTTGAGTGCTTTTATATCTGAAAAAATATTCCGAATTCGGCCCCTATTCTTTAACATTAGCCGAAGATAGCCTTAAATTATTCACATGATATTTTTTTAACAAATATTAGCTTAAAATCATTAATTGAAACATTTTAAAATATTTAACAGTTAAGTGAGAATTTCAAGTACAATGTCTGTTCAAAAAGTATCCGACGTTAAATATTTCCTCGCACAATACAAATTCTAAAACAGCGCCACTGAGCACAGTAGGAGGAGACAGGTTAATGTACATGCTTGAATTTTTTTCCCTTCGTTCCAGAGTACCGGTCGTTTCCAGCAGGCAACCGAGTGAGGTGCTGTGATGCATATTCATCGAATTTTGATTTCTCTAAAGATAAGTGAACGACTTGAGCAGAGGTACTGCATCAAAGTTTTAGTCAAAACCGGATGTGGTTTTCTAAATGGAACAATTTGTAAGATTCAGCAAATGTTTGGATATGATGCCATGGGGGTCACACAATTTAAGGAGGGGTTTAACCGATTCAAAAGTAGCCACTTGTCGGTAGAGAGTGACCAGCGATCTAGGAGGCCACAATCCGCTCGAAATGCAACTGTTATTGAAAAGGTGGCAATTCTGATCAGTGCCGGTTTAAGCTCATTTCGGGCCCTGGGCGCAGAAGATCTACAACAGTGATACTCAACCTGTGGCCTGTGGGCCGCATGTGGCTCACTAGGCCTTTTTAAGTGGCCCTGTCATGGCCTATTGCTCTAAGAAATTCATTTATTTATGAAAATTTGGTGGGAAGTTCTTTGTTAAGAAATCAACTATATCAATTTTGCTTTTTGCTGTTGGT